CAGCCCTGGGCAAGTTGACAAGATGTGTTAATAAAGTCAGCTCTAAATGGTGTTGTACTTTCAACAAATTATGACTTTACATATGTCTGCCATAGTAAGATGCTCTTTCTACTCTTTTGAACCAAATACAGCAAAATTCTCCTTTTACAAAGCAATGAGATCAAAATAATCACACAAAGAAAGCTTTTCCAAGGAAAAGAAAGTTAATTCAAAACAAATACATTTTAGGATACCTTAGGATATAAATATATTTAAATATACCTTAGGATACCTATGACAAGAGAAATATACCAGTAGACTTGCTTTATTAAGAAATGTAATAGCCAGATGCACATTTGTAGTCTCAGCTACTCAAGAGGCTGAGGCAGGAGGATGGATCACTTTGAGCCCATAAGCTGATACTAGCCTGCACAGAACAGAAGATCCTATTAGGAAAGGAAAGAGGAGGGGCGAGAAGGGGAGTAAGCAGGGGGTTGAAGAAAGGATGGAAGAGGAAGGGAGGGAAGAAGAAAAGAAAGGAGGGGAGGGTGGATGAAAGAAAAAGATGATTGATTGATTGACTGATTCAGTGAAAAGTTACAGCAAAGCTTCAGCTGACTTCAATGACCAAATCTTTGAAAATGGAAAAAAAATTTCAGTTAAACCAGGCTGGGGCTAGAGGAATTACAGTAAGGACATGTCCCCTGTCCAGTGGAAAGGGGGCAGGTAAAGGCATTGATGACTCATAGGGCCTGGTCTCTAGGACTCTGGAAAGGAGATAATACTGCTTGGTGTGTCAAGTTGCTGGGCAGGAAAAATTCACTGAGTTGGAAGCACTCTACAAGAGAGGCACTGATATTTAAGGAAACCTCCTGCAATTCTCTCCTTTTTATGAAAAAAAGATCTCATGGTTCTTAATGGTTTGTGATTTGCTTTTGCCTCCTTTTTAGGAGCACATTTTTATGGGAAAACATTACACTGAAATAATTATTTCACTGACATGCCCTCCTTAGTGACCTAAGTGACAACACACTGACCCAGCACACTTCACATTTACCTTCAGATGCAGCTTAGTTGTCTAGCCAAATCTGTTTCACTACTTTACACTAAGTGGATTACTACCATTACAGGTAGTGGCATTTATAGTCAGATGTAGCTCCTTTTGAGTGTAATATCCATCAAAAACAACTGTGTACACACAATAGAAGAAAAATCTTTCAGCACTTTGAAAACCATACGATAAAGGCAGGACTCAGAAAGGAAGAGAGGCGTAAGGAAAGAAAAAGTGACAAAAGTGGCAGAAAAGAAAGACCAAAGCCTGAATCTTTTTACTTCTTAACATTCAGTATAATCTACTACACTTTGAATATGCTAAGATTTCTCAGAAACATATTTTTTTAGTGCAAATCTACTTTTATCTTTCTGATTTTCAGGCCTAACCCACTCACATCAGAAGTATGGAACGTATCTTACTAAATAATGTGAATTGTAATATAATGTATTTTTCCTTTACTATGGTAATCAACACACTATCAGAACACTCCCTAAAACTATTAAACATATTGAAAATGAAGCTTGCTATTAAACATAAATGAAATTCCTTAACATGCTAAAACATACTATAAAAAAGCAGACATATTGACTTTCCTATCCACATGTAACTTAGATACACATTCTGCTTAAATTTCAGGAGAGATCTAAACAAATAGTAGAAGCAATAAACAAATCAACTGACACAACTACTTTTTGAATGTTTGCATTGTTGAATTCTCCAATCTAGTCTTTTTAAAGGGAAAACTAATACTCTGATTTAGTTTCTGCCACTTTGTGAAGAGAAGGCCTTTTGTACCATGAAATTATTCTAAATTCCCTGTATTCATTTTGAAGAGAGCCTATTTTTTTGGTTTGTTTGTTTGTTTTGTTTTTCTTCCGGTACCAGGAATTGAACTCACAACCTCGCGCCTGCCAGGCAGGTGCTTTGCCGCTGAGCTAAATCCCCAGCCCCAGGAGCCTATTTTTAATAGCCAATTTTTAATAATTAGACACAGACTTTATTTCTTACTAATGTTTTTTAAGCTGGGCATGGTGGCATTTGGGGAGGCTGAGATATGAGGAGTGTAAGTTCAAACTCAGCCCAGGCAACTTAGAAACTTCGTAAGATCCTGTCTCAAATGAAAAAAAATTTTAAAAAGGGATGGGATGTATTCAGTGCAAGGACCCTGGGTTCAATCCTCAGTACTGCATCAAAAAAATAAAGATAAATAAAACAAAGTTTTTAACAAAATTGCTCTATTGATAATGTTATTTGTGTCATAAAAAATTAACTAGCAATTTATAAGTGATTCATGAATTTTATAGGTTAGTATTACTTTCTGCAATGGCTATTCTGAATAACTAGCTTACTGAATGTCCTTCCTTAATATTTAGAAAAATAATTTAGAAAACTCTAATCAGATACTCCTCATTATGTAAGAAAGAGATCAAAAAGTAATTACCAGAAAGTCTTTAAGAAATGTACTTTGCATGTAAAGTATATTAATTTAGTACTAATATTTTACAATTGGTGTCATTACATGTAAATAAGCTTCTCAAAACAAAACTATTTGTATATATACAGGTTTTTACATAACAAGTTTAAGTATTAACTTACTTCCCCAGAAAAAAAAAACTCCTAAGCCTTCAGGGGTTAAATGAATGCCCTTCAAACTCAAATTTATTCAGCAAAGTAACTTTCCTATGGGGTTGCATATACAATACTGTAAGACAAACTTTGCTTTAAAATTTGAAGACTTGGGATCGCAGAACTGAGCAAAAATTATTTTGGAAATAACTCAAAAGTCAAAGGGAATCTACATATTATTTGTAAAGTATACATACATGTGCTTCAATTATTATAATCATAAAAAATTTAATAATAAAGGAAAGAGTAACATTTCTTTATATATTCCTATCAATTTTTACCTATGGCACTATAAAAGTTAGTTATTAAAGTAACTGGGTAATTTCTTTTTTTTCTTAATTCTTTACAACAGCATGAGTTTCATGACAAAACCTGATGGGAAACATTATTCTTAAGAAAAACATTCCAAAGTAAACCCAAATACTAGACCAAATAATAAAACAGTTTCTCACAGGACTTTTAAAGAATTAATTCAGAAAGCTTTTGCTTTGAGGACTTGTAAGCTTCCCGGTAACAATAAGAAACTGGATCCCTTTCTGGGATGATCATTTCTCCTATCCAGCACCCTAGGAACCACTAAGGGACATAGCACAGGTGACTTCTTCTGTCTACACTCCTCTACATAAACCTCAACTCAACTCCCTCACAATAATGTTGTGAGGTAGATCAGTGCAGAAATAGTAAGAATCTTGTTCACTCTACAAATGAAGACACCGAGGCACTGAAATGTTACACGGTCTGCCCAAAGTATGTACTGAATCAATCATAAATTATAAACAATTAAATTATCACTTCTGGCCTAATGTTCTGATGACACTTCACAATAAAAGTTACCTGTGTATACTCAAGTGAGCAGGCTATATGACGTTCAATTGAGAATACATCTATTGGGGCTGGGGATTTAGCTCAGCGGCAAAAGCGCCTGCCTGGCAAGCGCAAGGTCGTGAGTTTGGTTCCCGGTACCGGAGAAAAACCAAAAAAAAAAAAAAAAAAAAAAAGAGAATACATCTATTAATAATTATTTTAAAGGGGATATAATCTCAAAGATCATTAAAACTCGAAAGATCAAAAAACAGGGACTGGGGGTTTAGCTTAGTGGTGGAGCACTTGCTAGCATAAACAAGGCCTTGGGTTCAATCTTCAGCACCACAAGGAAAAAAAAGAAAAATATTTAGTACTTGGATAGAACTATGATTTTAAAAATTTACATAATAACATTCATTAAGGAGGAATGTAAAAAATTTAAAGTTATGACTTAGGAAAAAAGTGTCTTCAAGAAACATATGTTCATCTTATTGGGGTAATCCTAGAATACATCTTCAAATAGAGATACTTGAAATGGAAAATGACATGAGTAATAATTATAAGGATGGTAAGTGTTAAACTGAGAAAGAACAGCCAGGTGTAGTGGCTTATTCATGTAATCCCAGCATTCTGGGAGAATGAAACAGGAGGATCACAAGTTCAAGCCCACTTCGTAACTTTCTGAGACTGTCACAAAACAAAACACAGCCTGGAATGTAGCTTAGTTTGAAGGCCCTGGGTTCAATCCCCAGTACCACCAAGAAAAAAAAAAATTGAGAGGTAAGCTCAAGTACTGTTACCCTATGTAGCATGGATTCTATGAGTGTTATCAATATTTTTAGAGCCATAAAAAACTCTGTGAGCATGTTGCACTCTGCCATTTCCACTGTGCAATAAAACACTGGTGCTTTAAAATATAATACCTAACTGTGGCTTAACCACAAAGATTAAACAATCAAACTGAAATAATAAGCACATTTAACCAACAAATTATTATACATTTCTGTTCTAACACAGTTTTCTGTTTTCTATAAGCCATAATTTCACATTTTATTTTAAATAGCCACGTTTTCTTTTCAGAAAGTGTAAACAAGAACCTTTAAATAGACAATTCTGCGGAACTCTTTGGCTATTAAAAAAACTATCAATACTTAAAAGATTTCCACTTGAATGGAATGATCCATACTTAAATATGCTAAATGTGAAAAGTGAGTATTTCCCTCTGAAATGAAAATCTTTTCTAAAGTAATAGCAAAGCATTTTTAAAATCCAGTTATTATAAAGACTGAAAAAATAATGTATCACTTGATTAGTGTACACATGCTAAAGACACTAACACTATTAGTCCAAATATAATCTGAATTATTCATGCAAAATACTCCACAAATTTGCATACAGATTTGAAAAAGAGCTTTTTACATTCAGTTATGTCTAATAAGTAAGTTTTAAGACATGGATTTTGTGAATATGGTTATTATTTGAGGTCTCCATTCACTTATATTTCTTTGGGAAATACAGATTGAACATTTTTTTTAGAAACAGCAGAAATGTAAATCACAATAATAAAATGTATGATATTTAGTATGACTTATGGCTTCCTTGAACCTTTAAATAACTTTCCTGAAAAAAATTCGCATGAAACTGAAGTATATGTTCTCAACATATACTGATCTTTATCATGAATTAAATCCTTCCATTGTAACTGTACTTCTAAGGCAGACACTTAGGGAATGGTATGGAATAAGTGTTATTAAAAAGATAATACTCTTTAATAAACTAAGCTGTACTTAATTCTTGGTGTCTTTTTTGTTATACTGACACTTCTTTGAGAATAGGCAAGAAATTCTAGGGCATAAGGATGTTCATAAAACCTGAACTGATGTGATGTGTTGAATACTTTAGTTGATCCATACATTTTTTTCAGACTTTAGATATCTTCAAATATTATACTGGAAGACATAGAAAGATATCGTCCACCAGGCTGATACCTAAAAGGTAAACATAAAGAAATGATCGGAGGCATCAAAAATAATAGAGAAGAGGAAAATGAGAACACCTTAAAAGGAAGTAACTACATAATTTGTAAGCTCTGCAAAATCAACCAGCAACTAAAAGCAGAAACTTATCTTCCAAGTGTATTATCCAAAAGAACTTAGTTATAAATCAACCAGAAACTGGTTTAGAGCCTAGAATGAACATATGACAGACAGGGGTATTTTTTTTACATGGGGGTATGTAAGACACATCCCTGAGATTTAATCGGTTTAAAAACTGCTCTCAATTGCTAAATATAAATAGAAGATTCTAGGTGTTTGCTATTTATAGGCAATAACACAGCAACAACTTTGTGCGTTTGATATTTTGCTTTTGTTTAATTATTTCCTTGTAGCACAGCTGCTACAAGTATAGCCTTTGCAATAAGAATATTGGAATCTGAATGCCTGATTTGCCATTTAGAAGTGGCTCTAGGCAAATTACAAAGCATCTCTGGATTTGTAACCATAAAATAAAGTATTGTTAAAGTACTTAGAAGTGTGTCTGCTATCAAGATATAGTTATGTCTGCTAAATATAATATTTATTTATTTATTTTTTTGGTTTTTGGTTTTTCTCTGGTACCGGGAACCGAACTCACGACCTCGCGCTTGCCAGGCAGGCGCTTTTGCCGCTGAGCTAAATCCCCAGCCCCTGCTAAATATAATAAACTTCATAAATACAATTGCCATGTATGTGTGTATATATATAAGAATTTTAATTCTTCTTATGTATATGAAGATACCAATTTTAATCACGATTGAATGGTATAATTTTTTAAATATAAAAATATTAGAGGATATAAAATAGTATCAAAGGTTGCTCAGTAAGTTTTTTATTAGTAGTAAAAATGGACATTTTTATGTTCACTTATCATTTGTTTCCAATCTTATCAATATGTTATTAAAATTTCAGAGAAATGCTTGAGTCAAAATGACATAATCAGAACTTACCTTCCTGATTCAGATTCAAGAGGATCATCACTGAATGTTTCTGCATTAAAATCCAAAGGTTCTGCATCTTGGAGAAGTTCTATTCGGTCCCTTTCAGTCCTATTATTAGCCCTGGTATATTTGGATGCTGTTCAAATGGAGAAAAAAGAGAAATATCCGTTTCTTTATTGTCTTTTTGTCTATATGTCACAATTTATGGGTTCATAGGAAGAAAAGCCAAAAATTACGAAGGATATGAATTTTGATTAGGAAGAAAAATAATATAAGAAAAGATAACTAAATAGTTCCTTCAATGTCTGATTAAAATTATAAACAGTAGAATAGAAAATAACAAGGAAAATTTCTCCAGCCTTGTAGCTAAGTTCAGAAGCAGATACAGCAGACAGACTTAATATGAATTAGAATATTTAACTGTAGTGACATAACAGTGAAGTTGTTCAATATCACATTAAGTTTCAATAATAGTGACATTCACTATTTGGGTAGGCAACCAAAGTTCCTAAAGAAAGGCCAGCACTGGTCAACATATATAAAATGCAAGTCTAACATTTAATTTGGAATTTTCTAGTAGTTACATGAAAAAGTAAAAGATATAGGTGAAATTAATTTAATATTTAATATTTAATTTTAACACAATACATCCAAAATATTACCAACATGGGGCACTGGCCACACTGCAAGTACTCAATAGTCACATGCAACTAATGCCTGCCACATGGGGCAGTACAGATCTAGAGAGCTCTGCCTTCTCTCCAGGGATGAAGATTTTCTTTACAAACAGCTTAAATTCTCATGGTGTTATTGGAACAGTCTTGGTCTACTTGTAGCTTCCAAACAACTTTAGGATACAGTTCTTTTTAAAAACTTAAAACAACCTATTCATATCTTGTATTTGTGTCATCTTGGACTGTGACCTAACTGCACATTTTTTCATTGCTTTTTAAAATCATTTTTTCATTCATTCATTCAACCAATAGTAGTTAACTACCACATTCGAGGTTCTCACTAACTCATCATCGAAGGCTTTGTGCCTCTTCTTCTAGTAACCGTTTTCCCATACTACCAGGTGTTTCCATTCTGTAAACTTCAGGGTAATACTCAAGGCCTTTACAGAATCCTCCTTCTGTTTCACAGCTTTAACCATGGCTTTTGCTGTCCATTATTTGTTTTGTCCTAATTATTTCAAATAAAAGCTTTCATCACTGGGATCACTGCCTTACTTTAGACCCTCTTCATTTCTTGACTGCATTATCAAAACAGACTCTAAAACGGTTTGTGTCACTTCTTTGATACTCATGCCATCAAATTCATTTATAGTGCCATCAAATTCATTTTTCTAAACAAAATACCCTATCATGCTGCTTCTCAGACTGAAATCTTATTCAGTATGAAATCCAAGGTTTTGAGAACGACAATATCTGTTGCCCAACATCTGTGTAGCCTCCTCTGTTATCTCCTGTCACTACGTCTTGCACTCATTCAGTCTTCCTTCTGATTAAAAACCCTCCACTTGGCTAAATACTATTCATTTCTAAGTACTAAACTATTTCTTTATTACAGAGATATTTATTTATTGGACAATCTTTTCCCAAGGCACAACACTTTCTCTGTTCCCCAAGATGGGTTTCTTGGTACCAGATGTGTACCCTTCTATAACAGCTCCCATGAGAAATCTACAATAAATAGTCTAACAGCTCCCATAAGAAATCTACAATAAATAGTCTAACAGTTCCCATGAGAAATCTACAATAAAAAGTCTAACAGTTCCCATGAGAAATCCACAATAAGTAGTCTAGCAGTTCCCATGAGAAATCTATAATAAATAGTCTGCCATTAAAATATTTCTAACATTTTCATTTGCTCTTTTGTATAGTTTAGCTCTTTTCTATCTCTGCTGATATTCCCCCATCTGTTCGTGCACCTTGTCTAAGCTTTCCATTAGATCTTTTCACATACCAATGCATTATATTAGTCACTGTACTGTCTGACCATTCCAGTATTTGAGTCACTTCAAGGTCTAATATGTTGTCTGCTCTATGTAAAAGATGGCTCGCCTTTTCTTTTTTTTACATGTTCCTACTTTCTTGAGTACCTCCTAATTTTTGGTTAAATGCCAGACATTTTGCACAAAGCAAAGCAGAAATTAAGGCAAATATCAACTACGCCCAGAATGGGCATACTGTTTCTATGAGGTACTCATTGTTGAGGGCTGAAATTAACCTACTTGGAATCTGTAGTTAAACTGAGTTTGGACTTTGTTGTTGCTTTAGTTCCCTTAAGTTCCCACAGAATGCACATTTCTCCAGAAATGGACTATCACTACCTCGGGCTTTGTAGGGCCTCAAGTGTCACATGGTTCTCTCTCTATATTGTTTTCAGTCTTGGATTTCTGCAGTCACTGCATGCCTATCCCGTAAGGTGGGGAGAGGGGAATATGTTTGTACTTCTCCATCAGTAGCATAATGCTGTGTGGAACTTATCACTGGCTGGGAGGGCTTAGTATTCCTGTTTCATCCTCAGTCTTATGCAGGCCCCTGGACACAGACGCCTCAGTGGCAGGAACCCTTTAGGATTAGTGTACCTCTCCCAGCGACACACAAACTTTGCCTTCATAAAGGGCACGGTTCTAGGCAAAAACAGAGACAAGTTGTACCTTCTAGAGACAAATGACTTCTCTGCCTTGTGGCAGTGCAGGGTCAGTGCTATGGGAGGTTTCCTAATCCACACTGCTGATAGTTTCTGCTTGGTATCAGTCCATCTCTAAAATGTGACCATCCCAAGGATAAGACATTTATCTTCTTTATATAACCGTAGGCATGAGAAACTACCTGACATATGTGGGTTAGTCAATTAACTATTATAAAAATGACTGAATAACTGATATCTACCAACAGAAAAATACAGGAAAACATCAAGGTAAACAGTAGAAATAAGTACTTGCATAGAACATGCGTTGGATCTACTCACATAGAATTGTGAGTTATCTTAAATGCAGTAAAAATCACATTAGATGAGATTGTACTCTTTAAGTTGTTAGAATTGAAACAGCTACTAGAAGTCAGTCACCTCATTTAACCTTCGATGGAGGGACTTCTTCTAAACTATGCTAGGTGCTTTCTGGCTCTCTGAATAGCTAACAATTGTCTACATTTGAGCAGAATACTGCAGTTTTGGTAAATGGTGGAAGTTAGAAATTCTCATAGGTGAAATCTTTCTCTAGTAGCTTCTCTTCTTTGGTTCTAGTTATTCTTCTTGAAATAAATGGTTATTTAGGTTAGTATACTTCCAACTACTTATTTGGTGTTTTCTTACCCTATTAGAATGCATAGTTGAGTTTCCCTTTCCTTGTACATATGAAGGGCTATAAGAAAGTAAAGTCATGGAAGATAATTCTTACAAAATTTAGCCGTTTCGAGATTGGTATCCTAATTCTCAGTCTCTAAGCAGGCAAACATAAGAAAAAACTCTAAGCAAATGAGAAAATATAAACTACTTACACCAATTGGTACTAGTATCTGAGAAATTTGACTCTTTTGGATCAGAATGAACATTTCTATTCCTAGTGGAATCTTCTCTATTGTGCCCATAACGTTCTTTCCATTCCTAAAGGGAAATACAAATGAATATATAACAAAAGAATAGGAAATATCCATCAGTGTCAACAGATTCTATATGTAATTATTTTCAACAGAAATACATTAGTATCAGCGTAAATATAGTGCCTTTAAACACAGGTCAATGTTTTCATTTTTATGTAATTTATTCAAATCAATCTCCATAAGCTTTAATTTTCAATTAGGACATTTACAGATTTTTTTCATTTTTTTGCTAGCTATGATTATGTTAAATTATTACTCTAACTAAAATTTTAAAAGAATATTACACCTACATCAAACTTACCTTGACCATGTAAGAATCACGCAAACTCATAAATGACTTGTAAGATATTAATAAAATTTTCTTTCCCTCAAATAAGCTACCAACAACCCAAAAAGTCATTTTTGATGGCGCAATTAAAGTTGTACAAGGCATAATTAGATGATGACTCACACAGAATTGTGAATTATCTTAAATGTAATAAAATCACATTAACTGAGATTGTACTCTATACATTCTTACAATTGAAATGGCCACTAGAAGTCAGTCCCCTCATTTAATCTTCCATGGAGGGACTCTTTCTAAACTATGCTAGGTGCTTTTCAGCTGTTTGACTAAGTAGCAGTTTTCTACATTTGAGCAGAATATTGAAATTACAATAAATGGTGGAAATTAAAAATTCTCATGGAGGTGAAATCTTTAGTAGCTTCTATTCTTTGATTCTAGTTATTCCTCTTGAAATAAATGGTATCAGAGGTATGTCTATCCAACTCCTCAAAATGTATATATTATATATGTGCAATTTTTCATAAAATCAATTGTATTTCAATAAAGCTTTATTTTAAAAAAGAAAAAAAAACCAAGTCTTCCTTTTATATGCTTTATACTTTATACTAATATATACTTTTATACTAACTTTATACTAATACAGACAGCAATCAAATTTCCTTTCCTTTTTTATATACTTTATACTAACTTTATACTAATACAGACAGCAATCAAATTTCCTTTCTCCTTAATTTTATCAGTAAAATACATCCACGTGTTAAAATTCTGTTGTAACTGTAAGTAGCTTTTCTCATTTTTGTCTTTTCACTAACAGGAAATTAGTTTACCTTAGCAAATGGAGGACTAAGAAAAATTAAGGAGGAAAAAATTAATGCCATGTTATAAAAAAGGCCTAACAATTTTAAAGCAATTACAACCACTTTAATAGCAAGGTTTCATGAATTTATTCAGTCATTCAACAAATATTTACTGAAAAACATACTGCTATGGTTTGTGTCTGTATGCCCTCCCAAAACCTCATGCAGTCTTGGGGCAGAGTTCTAGAGTTTATGATTGATTCATGGTCCAATGTAGGGATTATGGGTGTGAGTATTACACCTGCCCTGGAGTGGGAATTCTGCATACAATATAAGGGAGGGAAAGAGGCTGCCTGCTGCCTGTTGCTCCTTTTTGCTCTTGTGCTTCTGCTGTTTTCTTCCACCATGAATGGTTCCCCTCTACCATGTGCCACTCTGCCTTGCAGCCAGCCAAGCACGGACTGAAACCTCCACTAACTGTAAGCTAAATAAACCTTTCCTTCCTTAACTTTGGGCGTCAGGTATTTTGTCTCAGCAGTGAGAAAAAAGTAACCAAAACACATACCTTAGGCAACAAATTGCTTGCCACTGGGCACAAATTAAGTAGTTTGTTACCAGTAACTTTTTGGAACAAAATGACAGAACACCTAGCATTTGCATATAAAAGTACTAAAATCCCCTTCTTTTAAAGATATATCCTAAGTCATTTCTCCATTGTTTTTCTACCTTTAACCAATTTCTCTAAATCAGTAAGATTCTTATTTTTAGTGATTTAATAAATACCATACTTACTCTTCTTCGATTTTCACCATCTTCTTGCCTTTGCCTTTTTCTCTTCTCTAGAGACAGAAAAATGACCTCAAATTTGGTTTAATATTGTTTAATTAGACATAGAGTAAGATATTTTCCTCACAGTGACCTAAAATTTGCTGCTCTGTAACTTCTACTCTTTTTAGTTCTCTCTTCTTGGCTGAACTCATACTTTTTGTATAGGAGTCCTTCCCCCGTTACTATCTTTAAGTCATATATACTCAGGGTTTAACAGCCTCCCAGAGGATATACTTCAATTCTGGCTGTCCTCTAAAGACCTTCTAATTTATCAGTCCTATTTGTGAAAATCTTACTCAGATGAGGTCTAATTGATGCAAAAAGCAAAACTACTGTATCAGCTAAACACTACCTTCAGAGTAGGAAAAAACTATATAGTACTTGGTTATTTCAGAGAATGCCCAAATATTAACATCCCAAAGTCAATTCCCTCCCATCCATACATTTTACCATTGCTTAAATATCAGTGAGTTAATACATTCAATTCTGTGTTCACCTTCTAGCAGAGTGCTATGTATTCGAACAGTGCTCACATTCTCACATTAAGGATCATATGATAAAAGAAACAGACTTGGATTGAATAATTTTCCATGCAGTATCAAACTAATGACTCTTTAATAAATTTCATAGTGATACAGAACTTGGAAAATATGTTTCAATGCAAATATGAAAATAATTCCAGGACAATGGAATTTGAATGAAAAGCTGGTTTTTAGTTATAGACATAATTTATGTTGCAGAATTTCTTAAAGAAAGATGAAACATTTATGTTTTCAATTTATTTTTCCTTAGAAAGATATACATAAATTTTTAGCTAAACAGCATTAATTTCTAATTTCTTAAAATATATTAAAGATTATTCACAAATTATACAAACATTATTCTTGTACTTTGTCTTAGCACTTAGCATTTTCTTTCATTTAAAGACAAATCTTACCTCGTTTGATTAATTCTCTTCCTTCATCAACTAAGTCTGATGTCATATCATTATCACCCATAAACTGCTGGAAACCAAGCAGATTCAAACAACGGGTTCCCAAACTAATGAAAGTAGATAATCATAAAGACAAGCATTATTTTCCATTGTAAACATTTAGATAAACTGTTTCTTAGCATTGTCACTGCCAAGAAGCCTATGTTCATTATTATTTACTTTGCCAAATTACACAGTATTACATCTACCATTCTTTAAGAAGCACTTATTTCCCCTTTTTAGAAGCTTATCCCCAGTAGTTTTCTCACTACAATATATAGATTTCTTATTGAAGTGGACTATGTCAGACCCTATACCACCTAAAAATAATAGTTCAAAAAAAAAAAATGAAAGGACAAAAAAAGAAAAGCAAACTGATTAGCATTAATGTTTTTGAAGAAGTGATATTTTTGGTGTGTCATGGAGCACTTATGATGTGAGAGAGGGCAGACAAACACAAGTAAGGATCTTCTACGTGTGAAAGTAGAGAAGGATGCTAAAGACAGTCACCCCTGTCCTTTAACTTCTTTTGCATCTTATCTCTGTCAATTTCTATCATTTTCTCTAAAGCCATAAAATAAGCAGACCATCAACCTTTCAAAACTAGAGAAGGATTTCTCCTCCATCCCTAGATGTACTTCTTGGTTATAACTGCTCCTCACCTGACTCATCATGGTGGCTGTGATTTGAAGCATTTAGAAACCCAGCAATAATTATGAGGAAAGCCCTAAAATTAAATTATGAATTATTAGAGAGAAGTTAGGTATGAAAGAGTTTTTCAAGCTATACTGGCTGTCACTGTCAAAGGCCAGGACTTAGGAGTTAATATACTCTATTAATTGTATCACTTCATAGCTTAAATAACTATAGCAGAGTAACACTACTTCTCTTTTTCATTAAAATATCTTTAGAGGAAAAAACCTGACTCAATTATCAAAGCAGCTTCTTCAAACTATCCTCAACTTCCTCAAAGTCAAAATAAACAACTAAGATGGGACCAGTAAATATTTAAAGGAGTTTTACAATGAAAAGATACCCAGATCCAATTAAGGATATGAGGAAAAATTACCTAAAATAAGTAGCAATACAGAGAATTACCACCAGCATTGGATAATATATATAGAATCCATCTGCAATGAAGGATAAAACTTTCATGGAACCCATAATCTGAAGAGCAAAAAACCAAAAAGGTATATCAGCATAGTTTTATATGTTTCATTCCTTTCCATCACTAAAATATTTGCTCATAACCAGTTACATCAGTAAACTAAACTTTAAACTTTGCAAAACTAGACACAAAGTAATGAGTGATCTGAATTTTTTAAAAATTTGCTCTCTATTAAGGTTTTCTCCTACAGAAAACTAGTATTTTAGAAATACTACCAGAAAGTTTATATAAAATCTATAAATATAAAAGTTAATGTTATTTTAAGTTAGGTGTTTAATATTACTCAGCCAGACAACCTAAAGAACCAAGAAACATTTTTAATAAGAAGAAAAGTAAAGCCACTTTTATCAAGTCATCAGTAGTTATATATACAACATTTCAGAGAAAGTTGCAGTAACAGGAGTCCAATAATGTTACAGAACTTTTCTGCCAACATTAAAAGAAGGTTTACAGTAATAACATCTTATATATACAACAAATCTACAGAATTTCATTTTTTGATCATACTTACAGATGTATAAGCAGTAGGCTGAGTATTCTGGTGAGAGATGGAGGAATCCATATGGGTCAAACCCAAGAAATTAAGACATAAAGGAGGAGTCAAACGGCAAAATAACCTAAACATTTTTTTAAAAAGAATACATAAAAATAATGCAAAAGAATACATTTTATATTATACTGAAATGTATTCAGATCACTGTAGCTGTAATTTTCATCTAGTTGTATAATATACATTTTGAATTCTTAATATGCACTGCACTTACTTGGGTGACTTTCAGAATGTCCTACTAGTCACACTTCTCATTAAAATATCAACAACTACGAGAAAAATTGCAGCTCGGGTTCCCTGCTAGTGTCTACCACTGCTTTATCTGCATAATTTCTACCATCTCTGCAAGCCATCTCACAGTACAACAAAGACAGTAACAGCCACAAGGTGAATGGAACTCAGTACAGAAAAGATCTGAAGTTGTATTAAAATGAGTTATTCTGACAGGTACAGCTAGGAAGAACTGTTCATTTTGTCCAGATAAAAAGCACCTTATAGAACTAGAGTTGAAGAACTGGTAGTGCAAAGGCTGGTCGGGGCTGAATATAAAGAGGTAGTATGAGGAAGCTCTTTTGTTGTAAAACACAACTCTGTAGCTCAATTGTGATAGTGGCTGCAGGAATCTACACAAACAAATGATGGATTAAAACATCAAAAGGCTAGGTATGGTGGTGCATGTCTGTAATCCCAGCACTCAGGAAGCTGGGGCGAGAGGACTGTAAATTCAAGGCCAGCCCAGAACAATTTAGCATGATCCTGTCTCAAAATAAAAAATAGAAAAAGAAAAAATAAATAAATAAAGGAATAAAAAGATTCAGGCATGGTGGTACATGCCTATAATCCCAGCACTCAGGAGGCTAAGGTAGGAGGATTGCTGTAATTTTGGGGCCAGCCTGGACTATGTTGTGAGTTCAAGAACAGCCTGAACTACAAAGTGAGACCCTGTCTCAAAAAACAAAAACAAAAACAAAAACCTCAAGAGAACAAAATAAGGCTTATAGTGTAGTTAACAGTAAAGTTCTAATGTAAATTTCCTAGTTTTGATATTGATACTATAAAACAGATATATAAGATATCACCATTAGGAGAAGCTTGGTGTATATATAGTCGCTTTGTGGTGTATTTGCAACTTCCAGTAAGTTCAAAACTATTTGTAGAGAAAAGGAAACTCTTAAAAATGCTTGAAATATCAATTTCTCTGAACTTCCCTGAGTCTAGCCCTTATAAATATGTTATAGGATTAACTAAATAGTAAATAATACTGTGCAATCTAGCTCATGCTAGAGTCATCTTTTCTCCTTAGTCCTCCTGAAAACAATTTCAGGCCACTGACCTTCAGATTATTCTGCAGGTATGACTCAGTCTTTAAATATGGCAACAATAAATTAAAAAGTTAAACTTACAATTGCTTCTACTATGAACTCATCTATAAACTGAATCTCAAACTGGTAAACTTAGTCTTCCTATGTCTTTCTTTTCCCTCTTAATCTGACATACTTAATTTAACTTTAAACCTCAAGTAGGGTTTAGCTGGTAGCCAAAACACAGGTATTTGTTAATCAGTTAGCTCATACAAATGTAGCTGTTAATGCAACACTCATTCATAAACAATAAGAAATGAGAGATCCACAGTGATACACGCGATGGAGACATTTCTCTGTTTCTCAACTCAATCCTACTTACATGCCACTGAAAAGTAGACTGTATGCATCAGTCTGGTGATGGGAAGCCAAGTAATAATAGTTAAATACACGAATCCTGAATACAGTAGAATAAACACAAATACTGAGGAAGAAGATGGAAAGGAAGCAAGCAATCTGGAAAAAAATTTGGTTAAGACTAATAAATGTCACAAGAATTATTTATTTCCAGCCAACATTTATTGCTATTCTGAACTTTAAGTACAATAATGAAATTTTTAAAAATCATCTAAGAAAATGAAATTATAGGAAAAAAGTCTACATTTCAAACAGTTCAATATCCTAGATCTATAGGTTTCAAATCTACTTCCTAAAGTAAGTCTGTTTTCCCATTCCCTTGAAAACTCTTCATATGAAGACTCTAAGTTACATAGCTTCACTGACATAAAGAGCAAAGCATTCTCATAAAATAATCTTGCACTATTTTGTACTTTTTCATCTCTCCTTAAATATGGTTCATTTTTTATAGTTTGGGTAAACTCATTTTTGGAAGTCTCAATAATACTGTAGGAAACATCACTGCTTTCATTATTACTAGAAGAAATAAATGTATGAGAAAAAATACAATAGTTAAGGGTTAAACTATGAAGTTGAGTATATTTATGACAGATATAAAGTAAACTGACCTCGATATAAATATAGTTGTATGTTTTTTCTGCCAGCTGTATGAAGACCGCAAAGAGAGACAAGACCGGAGTTGTGCTGAAGAATGTGCACTCTGACCACACAACAATTACAGAAAAGATGGACAAAACCACAGCAAGAATCCTGTAAAACCATGGTCGCAAAAGACATTCCCAGTACCATTCTAAAAGATAAAAGAAACAGAAAACTAGGAAAAATAAAGAAGTAACAGGGTATTTATACTGTTTCAAAATATATCAAACAAGAGAATTACACTGAAGGAAACAGACAGCTACCACCTTAGCCAAATGATCACTAGTAATGAGACAAATTGTTATCTCATGTGCTTCCTGCTGTAATGCACTGAGCAGAAAAGGATGTAACTGCCATGGTATTCCTGCCCAAAATGCATAACCTGTGTAATCATTAGGACATTCAACAGAAAACTTACCTGTACCCTCCACAAACATCTATGTCACAGAACACAAATAAAGCCTGAGAAACTGTTCTTGGTTAAAGGAGACTAAGAAGATAGGACAACTGAATGCAACACACAATCTATACTTTTTTACAAAGGATATCATTGGAATAATTAAGCAATAAGGTCTGTGAGTAACAGGGCAGTATCAATAACAATTTCCTGATTTCAACAGTAGTAACTGGTTATATAAGAACATACCTTTAGTTTTAGAAAATACACACTGAAACATTTAGAAGCAAAGAGGCATCATGTCTGAACACAAGTGTGAAACATTAAGGAAATAATACACACAGAGAAAGAAAAACCAAATTAATATGGTAAACTTTTAACATGTGAAGAACCCAAGTATATGAGAATATTTTGTGAGATTCTGGTTTGTTTAAGTCTGGATTTAGGTAAGAATAAAAGTTAAAAACAAAAAGAAAGCTCAATAAGGCCTTATTTATATTTAAGGTGCTAGGGAAAAAACCCACGGCCTTGTGTATGCTAAGCATGTGTTACCCCACTCCGTTACACCCTCAGCAGGGCTATGTTTTCACTTCATACCCTGAAAAACTGAGCTCCCGTCTCATAAAAGTAAATCCTTTCAACTTAAGCTCAGCAAAGTTTCTGGTGATTTCACCATCCACACAGGTGATCCTATTGAATACTGATTCTCATTTTCTTTACCTCTTCTCTAATGAGCTTGCCCTCAACACTACCTCATTCATTCCTAGAGTCTTCCCTAAACTAAAATGCTGAGAGTTAGTACTATTTCATACCTTCTTCTCCAAATCCTTCTCCCCCTCATACCTATTCTTAGCATGTTGCTAAGCAAATAGAAATGATCAGAAGGGAACTTTCCCATGATTCCACTATTATAGCTTCTCACATCTCAGGTACTTCTGTAACTTACTCCTAATTAAAAGAAATTTTCTTCATTGTTCACTGTTTCTCATCTGTGAACACTGTTCTAGAATTCTCCACTATCCTGTATCAAATTTCTTCTCTCTACAGCATTCCCATGTTACTTGCTATAATTTCTCCTCTACTCTATAATCCTCTGCCAACTACTACCACTTTTCTCTGCTCTTTTTTTAATAAGGAAAGCATCTTGAGAGTTTTCTACCACATCTTTAGTTGCCTTCCTTATTTCTTCTAAACCTCAGTCAGGCTTTATTACCTTTCTTCCATCTCTTTTCCCTGACACCCACTGGACAATTCTCAGTATTCATGATGCAGCCTATCTACAACAATTGAAAGGTATGTCACACATCCTTTTCCTCAGAATAGTTAACTCTCCTGGTATACCTCCTATCTCACTGGCCACTCCTTTTCTAGTCTTTTCTGTTTGTTTCTTCTTATCAATTAATCTCTAAAAATCTGGATTGCTTCAGGTGTGGGCCTCACTTTTTCTCTTCTCTATCTTAATCACTTCTTTACTGATTTTTTTTCCTGACCCATGGTTCACTACCCATTGCAGGCACCCTAATTTATATTTGCAGACAAGTCTTCTGCCCTGAATTTCTATTTCTGGCACTAATTACCTACTCTGCATCCTTATTTATACCTGTATGCATCTATTCCGTATTTTTCTCAACCTACAAGGGCTGGAAATTTTGTTTTTTTTTAAACTGATGCATACACAGCGCCCAACAATATACAAAATTTACGTACTCAAGTATTTGTTGAATGAATGAAAACTGTTATCAACCATACTGTGCCTTTGTTTAATTAGAAAGAATCTTTGTTGAAGAAGTTTTCTGAGATATTTGGTTATTATGTCTTCATGGTGAGGACTAAACATTCAAATAAACAAGTGAATACAGCTGTTAGAATAAAAGATGTTATTGTGAAGCTTTGGTACAGAGACAATTTGGCCCATGAATTAAGTTTCTTCACACTAAATATGATAACATTTGAAAGGAGTGTCAGAAGCAATTGTAGAAGTGAAAAAAAATGATGACTAAAGTATGTAGGTTTCATAAATAAAACTATGAATGAAAATAATGAAAGAGGACTTCTTAGGGAGATATTTTAATAGACTGTCAAAACTGAAAGACTCAAATTTCTTAAAATTCTAATTATTTTAAGTGCATATCATGTATATACAAAACATGCTTGATGTATTGCATACACTTTTGCATAGAATTTCAACTGTTTGTGACATAATAGTGAAAAATGATGGGTACACTATATGACAAGTAAAATAGTTACTTAGGGGGCAAAGTTTGTCAAATACATAATATTACCACACAGTATAAATAATACAAGCGAATTTCATCTTGGCTTTGATGAAAATATACACTTTTTTTCTTGCAGAAAACTATCATTAAACTTTGAAATTTATATAAAATTACATACCAACTGTAGGATTGTAAAAATATTGAATAAATCGATTTTCTGGCTCTGGAGACTGAAAGCTGTGAACAAACTGATGGGTGGCACTAGTTTCATTTTTTGCTACATCTTCTAAATAAAATGCTTGTTCCAAAAGAATCTGCCATTGCACTTGGGTTCGACGGTGCCTCTGAACTGAATAAATCACCTAAAAAAGAGAAGTGATGTCAGTAGACCTGTCATTGTTCTGATCCAGTGGTGGGCCAACTCACTCTTTAGAAATTATTTATTCACTGATTTTTCTCACAACAGAAAAGTGATAGTGCATTTACTGGGTGTGAAAATGATGTAAGAGTTCTATAGAACAGTTATACTTCTCTCTGCCCAATTTCCAAGAGCACCCTACCCAGAAACATAAAGTTAAAATATTTCAAAAACATTGATACAGACAAGATTAAACAAAGTTTTAGATTCAGTCAAAATTCCTTCTTTGTAGGTAACAATTATAAACATATTTGAAATAATCGGTTAGTGAAATAGCTACAATTAATAATTAAAATTACCTGTTTATGCAATTTTACCAGACTTTTTTCACTTGGGTAGGTATTACGCTTTTCATCAAAATCTTCATAATCATCCATGTTCCTACCCATTTTTTCCTGATACTCTGTAGGGCACTAAAAGGAACAGCAGATTTTTAAAAAAATTTTAACTGTAAAATAAAATTTATTTTCATTAGTAACTTTATCATTCTGAGTCATCTCTAATTTTCTCAAAAACAGTCTTTCTTTATTAGCATCTCTAAACAGCTAATTTCTCCTTGCTGATTTTTTTTGAAAATATTTTTAAAATGTTTTGACTTTCTTCTAACTTCCATTCATACTTATCTTTATGTTCAGGTATGCTAACTGAAGCATGGTGTAGACAGGGAAGCTTATCTACATTAGGTAACTAGTATTTGAGAAAATTATTCTAAGTAGACAAAAGCTCACTGATTTTCTTGGTTAATTAAGAAGAATCATGACAAATCCAAGATGCTAAATTTTTAAAAGTCACAGTAGAGAGAAGTGCATATTCTATATGGAGTATTTCCATACTATTAGTGATTTATTACCTATATGAAATTGGGCAAAGTCAGATAAGCTCCATAAATAGGTCTCAAGAAGTAGCAAGTAAGAGACATGATAAAAATATTTATTCCTATGACTAAGATTTTAGCCAAAGGAATATTAGCTAATAATTAGTATAACTGCTTTAAAACACATAAAAAGACATAGCTCAGTAGTTCTGTGGGTGCATAAAAGAAAATAGAAGAACTACAAATAATCACTTTTGAAAATATGAGTTCTACAATTTCAGTACTACCATACCAAAATCTTAGTTGTATGGCTTTCTGTAAACATCTATGTTATATATTTCATAATGACAATTATTTAATGATAAATGAAACATTCTGTAAAGTGACATGTAGGAAGCTGGTTGAAACAAATTACTGAGGCCCAAGTTTATTTTCTGATAGGAGATATGTATTTAGTGATAATATACAATGGCAATTTAGAGGCTCTCTACCACTGTTTCATGGAAATTACTATACATTATTCAACATCACCCCTATGTCCACATATCAGTGGAAAATAAATAGCTCTAAACCTGATCTAACAAAAAAATCCACTATGTACACATTAATATTAGCATATGGTTAATATTTCTGTATGTACTGGGAAGAACCCATGTGTAATTCTTTTCATAGTCTCCTGGTCTTGTTATTTTATAAAACAGCAATTTATATTATATACATTCATATTTAAAAAGAAATAGATGAGATAATATAATTTAATATAACAATTACCTTTTTAAGTATTGTGTCAACACACTTTCTCAACGGGTGGTTATATTTGATGCTTTCATTCACTTTACGAACTTCCTATGAAAACAGTAAGAGTAATAAAAATATTTTGACTTTTACACATCAGAAATTTCAAATGAGAATGCACTAAATGCTAGCTACAGTCTCCAAGTTTAATTTCAGCTCAAATTATTTAATATCACATGAAGTTCTTTTTACCAAATAAAAATTCTTAATAACATATATAAAAAACAAAGTAAGATGCACAGCAACTACTGGCAAACCTGGAGGCCTCCACAGAAAAATGCACCAGTGGCACAGAGCAATGGACACAGTGGGTAGCAATGGCTGGTGAGTTAGTCATGTTCAGATGTCCTCCAGGAAAGGGCAAGTGGCTGGTAGCCATTTTGAAGATGGGCCAACTTAGCTCAGAACTCAGAACAGCTGTGGGGTGGCTCCATCTAGCAGCTCTCAGTGTCAGGGTGAGCCTGCTGAGTTCAAGTAGGCAGGAGGTCAGGGAGCCAACTTCGAGCTGGCAGGGAGCCGAGTTCAAGCTGGCAAGAGGCACATGAACTGTTACAGGCTGAACAAATCATGTTCCAGTCTCACAGCTAGAAACCTGCCTGAACTTCAGTGGAACTAAAGGTGCAGCCTTGCTGGTATTATCCACCACCCCACCATAAAACTACAGCTGGCTTTCTGGGATTAATCAACTTGGATCTGGACTCTGCCCACACTGTCTACCAGTGACAACAGAGATATGCCTTGATTTGGACATTTTTTTCTTATTTAATTTCTTTTTTCTTGCATTTTATTTTGTGTTTATTTTTCTTGATTGTTAGCTCTTATTTTTTATGTGAGTGTTAATATGGTTGCTAGTTCTCTTGTTCTTTTCTGTTCTGGTTTTTATTTCTTCCTTCTCTCTTTCCCTCCTGTCTTCTTTACCAGTTTCCCAAAGTTTGTATAATCTTTGTCTTCCACCCTTGTTCCTAATCTCTTCCTCTTCTTTTATGTCTCTGTTTTTCTCCCTAATCCCTTTGAAATTGAATGGCCACATCAAGGGCTTGCTTACTGCATACAACTTTCTGGTTTGTTTTAGATTTTGTTATATAACCACAAGTCTAGTTCACACAACCAAAGACCGAAAATTAATTTTTACCACAGTTTGTCGTTTTCTAGGCTGTGTTCAATGCTACTGTAATTGCTGATTGTACTATTTTAGCCAAGGTGACATAATTGTTCTAATCAGTTGTTCTTCCTAGTATACTAAGACTGAGATTGCCTAAGGGTCATAAACAATGCTATAGGCCAATGCCAAAGAACCAGGGGCTGTGACAAGCAGGCAGCAACTTTTCATCCTCACTAAATTGAAGAGGCAGAACAGACTCAAAACCCAAAAGTCAGCTACACTAGGAAGACATCTCTAGAAAGTACTCATTTCCTAAAGGTTTAAGTACTAGTAACAAAGCTACTCTCTATAAGCAATTTACAAGCATTAACCCAGGAATTAAACTAAAAAAAATTAGAAAATGAGACGACATTTAAACAAAATGCAATCCCAGACTTCCAGGTCACCAAAGGCAAGCCCAGGCGGCAATGAGGTGGAATAATTCAAAAGCTGCCCACCTGGACTCTCTGAAGTGGTAACAGCAGAACTAACAAAGCAAATGAACAAGGCTCTAGAAAAATCAAATCAGAAATAATTTCTCAGATAACTACAGAGATGGTGACCATAATGAAAGATATGCTTAGTGACCCCAGAGCAGATACAGATTAAAAAAATATAGAAGCTTAGGAAAGTGATGGAAATCATGAATGCCCAATATAGCAAAGAAAAGAAATCCATGAAACAAATTCAAACAGATATGCAGATTAAAAATTTCATTGAAAGTATACACAGGAAAATGAGCCAATGTGGGAACAGACTATCAGATATAGAAGATAGGACTGCAGTTAGCAATCACGGAAATAAAGATTTATTAAAAATAACAAAGGACCATGAAAAATCAATCCAGCAGTTGCTAGATGATGCAAAGAAGAATAACATAAGATTCATCAGAGTCAATGAAAAAGCAGAACATACTGCAGATGAAATAAAAAACCTATTCACAGAAGTAATGGCAGAAAACATCCCTGGCAGGGAAAAAGAATCTGACATACAAATAAATGAGGCATATAGAACCCCAACTAACCATAATAAAAAAAAACTATACCAAGGTATATAATAGTCAAGATTCCAGAAATTCAACACAAGAAAAAAAATATTAAAAGCTGTTGGAGAAAAGAAACAAATCACCTATAAAACAAAGCCCATCAGAATCACAGCAGACTTCTCAACACAAACCCTCAAGTCAAGGAGATTTTCAAGTGAAGTACTTCAACCCTCAAAGAAAAAAAACCTCCAACACAGATTGATGTACCCTGCAAAACCATCTTTCGAAATTAATGGAGAAATAGGATACTTCCATGACAAAGAACATCTGAGGAAATTCATGAACATAAAACCAGCACTCTAAAATGTTCTGAAAGACATTGTAAAGAGAGATAATAAGGATTACTACTGCATGAACCCCAACAGAATGAATCCACCAAGCAAGGCAGGCAATTAAACAGAGGGTGGTAAAAAAGGGAACCAACAACAGGAAAGTAACATGACAAGGATATAAATAAATAAATATATATATATATATATACATACACACACACACACACACCTATATACCTATATATATATACACACATATATATATATATCAGTTATAACCATCTATGTTAATGGTCTCAACAATCAAAAGAAACAGACTGGAAGAATGGATCAATAAACAAGATCCATCAATATGCTACATACAAGAAACACATGTAATTGAAAAAGAAATTCACAGACTGAAAAGTCAAAGGACAAAAAACAATACTCCATGCAACAGGAATTTGGAAGAGAGCAAGGGTCACTATTCTGTTTGCAGACAAAGAGGATTTAAACCAAGACTCACTAGAAGAGACAAACAAGGTCACTATACTACATCCCTGTAAAGAGAACAATCCAAGAGGAAGAGATAACAATCATAAATATGTATGTATCAAATAATGGTGCACTTAACTACATAAAACAAATGTTAACAAACATGAAATATCAAATAAGCAGAAATTCAATGCAATGGAGACTAAGAAAACAATACAAATATCAATTAATTACAGTTAGTTCTTTGAAAAATCAAAACTGACAAACCCTTAGCTAACTTATCACAAGGAAGAAATAGTGAAAATACATGCAATTAGAGACGAAAATCCTGAAATCAAAACAGATCCTGCAGAAATCCAGACGATCATCAATGCCTACTTTGAGACCCTATATTCTACTAGGATAGAAAACATAGAAGAAATAGACAGATTCCCAGATACATATGCTTTACAGAAGCTGAATCAAGAAGATATACAAATTCTAAATGAACTAATATCAGTGAAATGAAGATGTAATTAAAAACCTACCAACAAAGAAAAGCCCAGGCCCTGATGGATTCACTGCTGAATTCTACAAGAAATCTAGAGAAGACCTAACGCCACCACTTCCCAAACTCTTTAATGAAATTGAAAGGGAAACAATACTCCCAAACTCATTCCTGGAGGCAAGCACTTAATCTTATATCAAAACCAGAGAAGGGTCCAACCAAAAATGAGAACTACAAGCCAGTCTCCCAAATGAACACATATGCACAAAATCCTCAATAACATACTGGCAAACAGAATGCAGCATATCATCAAGAAGATTGTACACAATTACCAAGTAGGATTCATCCCAGAAATGGAGGGATGGTTCAACATACACAAATCAATAAATGTAATACACAATATCAACAGAGCCAAGTACAAAAATTATGATCATCTCAATAGAAAAAGCATTTGACAAAGTCCAACACCCATTCATGATAAAAAGAAACCTACAAAAATCTGAATAGTAGTCTTCATTTCAATCTGATAAAAGCCATCTATGAGAAACCAATAGCCAACACCATACTAAATGGACAAAAGCTAAAAGTTTTCACTCTAAAATCAGGAACATGACAAGGATGTCCACTGTCACCACTAATTCAACATAGTTCTGGAAACATTAGCCAGAATCATTAGACAAGAGAAAGAAATAAAAGGAATTAGGATAGGAAAGGAAGAAGTTAAATTATCATTATTTGCCGATGATATGATACTTTACATAGAATAAACTAAAAACTCCACCCAAAGACTTCTAGATTTAGTAACCAAATTCAGTAGCATGGCTGGATACAAAGTCAGCACTCAAAAATCAATAGTCTTCTTGTACACAAACAACAAACTTATTCAGAGAGAAATTAGAGAAACAACACATTTCACAATAGCATCCAAAAAATGAAATACTGAGGAAGCAATCTAATAAAGGAAGTAAAAGACCTATACACTGAAAACTACAGAATTCTGGAAAAGGAGATTGAAGAGGATATCAGAAAATGGAAAGATATCCTTTGTTTTGGGGTAGAAAGAACCAATACAGTGAAAATGGCCATACTCCCAAAATTGTTACACAGATTTAATGCAACCCTGATCAAAATTCCAAACACATACCTCACAAAGTTAGAGAAAACAATCCTAGAATTTATATGAAACAAGAACAGACCTAGGATAGCAAGAGCAATCCTGGGCAACAAAGATAAGGCAGGGGGCATCACAATCCCTGACTTGAAACTAAACTACAAAGCTACTCTGATTAAACAAAAAGCTACTGTGATTAAACAAAGCTAATGGCAAAAAAACAGACCCAAGGATCAATGTAACAGATTAGAAGATGCAGAGACAACTCCAGACTTTCTCGGCCACCTTATCTTTGATAAAGGAGACAAACACCGCCAGTGGAAGAAAGCTTCTTTAATCAGTGGTGCTAGGGGAAAAGAAAAACTGGCTTTCCACAGGCTGAAGATTAAACCTAGACTCCTATCTTTCACCAAGCACTAAACTAAAGTCAAAATGGATCAAAGATCTAAATATTAAAACAGAAACACTAAAACTGCTGGAAGCTAGAATAGGCAGAAGTCTTGAAGACACTGGTGGCAAAG